TGGCCTGATGTGGAGCTTGCTCTGGAGTGCGTGCACTGTGCCCAGTGTCTCTGCCAAAGTAGCAAAATCGGGAGGATGAGAAGTTGGTGACATGGTGACACAACCGCGCGAGGGCCGTGGTGGCAGAGGGAAGGCCCCGTGCCGTGTTCGGCTGGACGTCGTTTACTTTCACCGTAGTTTTGACATCTTCCGCGTGCGCACCTGAACATCTCGCAGGCTCAAGCAGTGTTTAAGCACCCTGGGAGCCGTGGGCCGTTAGTCAGACCCTTCTTGGTGTCCCTGGGTCGCTCCTTCTCCCTGTGAGCCCAAGGTAACGCAGAGAGCCCCGCTGAGGCCCAGTGGCCACGAGAGGGCGACGCGACACAGCTCAGGCCTCGGCTCGGGGGACAGCGGTGGCTTCGGGCACGATGCAGCCACCCGAGTCCTGTCCCAGCCCTGAAAGGAGGTGTCATATTCAGGCAGGGCTTATGGGCATCCGTAAGCGCTAAGTGCCTGGATGTTATGTGCCCTGAGATGGAGTGCGGCAATGTTGACATCTGCCACATCAAACCTATATTCTATTTCCAGTGTCTAGTAAAAATCCAACTCGGATTCCTTACCATTGACTAGGGTCTCCAGTGGTAGCTCTATGTCCTTTTTCGGTAATGTGCTGAGATACTTTATATAACTTGGTCTGTGTCATTGCTTCCCAAAAGATTGCATCAGTGACTTGAAAATTGAGCGGAGTTTGGACCTAGCACGTTTATAATGCGCACATGGGCGCGATCAGCGTATCCACCACAGCTCCTGGTGCTTGGCTGCCTGAAGAGCCCCTCTTCAAGCTGTCCAGTGAGCAAGGCTACTTAAAATGATAGGGTCCAGGGCTTGATTCCTTTAATCTTTATTTAATCTTAATTAATCTTTTCCTCTCTGCCTTCCTCATTAGGGCTGGTGGTGGCAGAGTCCTGATTCCGTTGTGCAGGTTGGCCTGCACTGTGAGTGTCTGAGGCTGGTCTGGTCTTTGCTGCTTGGAGCAGAGTACCACATGTTTGGGCTTCTTTCTTGCTGCCCATAAACTTCCAGATTTCAGGACCTGAGCCAGCTGACCAGGCCCTGCTACAGTTCCCAACAGGCCTCTAGATACAACTGGCTATTGTGCATGCAATAAGCGGGAGCATTTGAGAGCCATCGGATTTTCTGCACACATGCAGGCCATATGCACATCACAAGTGCAACGAGTCCCATGTTTCTCAGACGTGTCACACTTGCTACGCAGCATGTGCACATGCATGTCTGGCCAGGAAGTCCCTGAAAAGAAATATGGTGATGTTACGCATCATACAGCATGTAATGTGTCTTGAAATTAACTCTAAAAGACTTCTGGTTCTCCCATGCTTTGTGAAGAAGGCATTAGAAGATCAAAAAGACTATTTATTTATTTATTTTGTTACTAGTATTTGTTGAGCTTGCCTTTCTGCTGCTCCCAGAGCTCAGCAATGTTCCTCCAGTGATACAGAGGGCATAGTGGCAAGGTGCAGGTAGTGGTGCAGTCGGGGAGGGATGGCAGCTACAGCATTGCCCTGCTGGCAGCACTGTTGGCATGTAAATGTGCTTGGAATGTCATTAAGGTAAGTAAGTGATCCTTTATATTAGGGAAAAGAAGAAAAATACTTTTTTTCTTGAGAAGAAATAGATAAAAATATATATTAAACAGTTCTTTCTCATATTGAGGCAATGGTGTACTAAATACAGTGACCCTCATGTTCTAGGAGGTGGCACAATTATACACACATATGCTATTGCAAAAACTGCAGGCAGGGTTTAAATCCACACAGGGCAGACATCATGACTTTCTCCATCCTATTTGTGAGGACTTTTTCACATTTGAAAATCTCCATAGTTTCTAATACTTTCAAGGATAGTATGGATAAAAGCTGTCCATCTTTAGCTTCATAAAAGTCACTTAAATATGTTTAATATGAATACAAAACTGTCTAATAAGAAACTTTTCTGAGATTCGGGTTACTCCATAGCTGTGTAGTTTTGTGCAGGCTTTTGTAACATGTTGCACTGATTTTACAAAGCCTGTGCTGGGAGATGAGCACTGGCTGGTTTCCTTTGCCAGCTTCTGCTCATCACCAGTGGCTGGAAGCCCTAGGAGATGGGTGAAGGGAGAAGAGCGGGGTCGGCATGTCCTGCCAACATGTGAGCGTCTCCTTGTAAGAGCTTCTAACTGGACGTAGAAAAACATGACTCTTGGTTTTCTATAAAAGTGTGTTTTGAGGATGAACTTGACTTTCACTCCGGTGTTTTTTCTGCCAGTCCGTCTGGCTCACTTGACTTTTTGGGGAGATCTTCTGTGAGGGGTGACAGTGAAGAGAGAACATACTCCCTCATGCCTGATAGTGTGGAGATTTTGCAGCTTTTCTTCAACCAGAATTTGAAGCTCATCTGAGCTGAACACTAGTACCTTAAAAAGTAAAAATAGGATCAGACAGTCAGGTAGGTAGTCATGACCTATAGTCATGTATACTTAGTACCTAATAAATTCTGCAACTCCACAGGGGTGGGATGCATGTATCCTAGCTGGCAAAAAGCTCCCAAGTGAAGTGGAGCAGGGAGAAAATCCTGATTTCTGCTGCTGATGGACGTTGGGCTCCAACAAAAGCTTTTTTACCCCTCCAAGGGTGGGCGGCTGTGTCCCTCAGTCTGTGCAGCGGGGACTCTCAGGGCTTTCGGAGCACTCAGTGCTCCCAGGCAGGGTGATTCCTGCCTTCCCTGGCCGGAGGGGTTCCTGGTTCCGATGCTGCTCTCTGCTCTTGTAGGCTAGGATGCCACGGAGGGCCCTTACCTCAAAATAGACAGCGATGAGTGTCAGTGGCGGGGCTGTGCTCTGCCCTCTCCGGAGGGTGGAGGAGAGGGGCAGGGTTTGGATTGCTGTGTGTACCGATTGCTTTGGCCTGTGAACACCAGAGAGGGGTTTGGTGCCCCTCAGTCTGTTAATGCTGGAGGTTCATGTGCTCCTCCTCTGCTCCAGGAGTGGAGGTTTAATCTGGGGGACCCAGGTGCAGTCACACACACGTTGTTCCTGCCTGGCCTTTGGCCCCTCTGGACTGGGGAGAAGGCGGCACAAGCTCTGCTTTGCGGGGGCGAACACCATCAGCTGGCTTGAGGAGAGGCTCTGGTATCTGCGGCATAGAGCAGCCATCCCAGGTGTGGCAGCTGAGTCCCTGTGTGGGTTTCTAAAGCCCGTGTCATGTGTGACTAAACTTTCTTGCTTTGGTTGCTGCTCTCTAAGCGTTACATAACCGAGCTCTGAGTTTTGTCCTCAGAGCAGCTCGTGCTGCCCCTTGGTGAGAGCCATTCATGGGGATGCAGAGCAGGTTCTCCCTGCTCCCACACGAGTGGTGCCCCTGGAAGTGCCCGCGCGCGTGTGCGGCAGGAGCGGTAGGCTCCCCGGCCCGGAGCACGGGGCAGTTCGTGGGCTGCTGCGCACCGCAGGGGGAACCCTTTCCCTGGGATCGGACTCCGCATTCCGCTACTGCTGCTCGCCTCCCCGCCGCTTTTCCCAGCTCCGTTTTCCGCGTTGTTGCGTTCCGGCGTGCGCCTTACGTGCTTTTCTTTTCTCCCTCTTGCAGGTGAGAGGCCCCGCAGCCGCCCGCGCCGCCGGCGGACAGTCCCTCTCCCATCTCTTCCCGGTACGTTTTCCCTGGATCCGCAGCGCGGGGGGACGGGAGCCGCCCCACAGCACCTCCCACCCCCAAACAAATACCCGGGGACTGGGAGGGAATGTCTGGGGGGACAGGAGCAAAGGGGAGGGGGCGGGA